CCCCGCAGCTGTCAGCCGCTCTCTGTCTGCGAGTCTGTCTACTTGGCCTGTGGGCTCCGCTTGCTCAGTAGATCCCACACCGGCGTGAGGTCGCGGGGTCCCCGCTTTCCCTGCCCCACGCTCCCCGGGCCCCTCGGTGCTGGGCTCAGGGTAAGGCGCTGACAGCCGAGCAGCAGTCCCTGCGACGCACCCGCAGCTTCACCCCCGCATGCCCTCTCCCGCCTCTGCTCGCTCCATTGGCCCGTCTCTGATGGCTGCAACCACAGGCTCCGGTCTGCCCGTGACACACGCATCCCCGTCCCGCCTCTGTCCCATCCCTGCGCTCACGTGACCGAACCAGCAGCGGCAAGGAACACGCTCCGGACAGCCTCTCCCGCTGGGCCCACAGGAAACAGGCCCGCGGTCCCCAGGGCGCCTTCCGCAGCATCACCGTCTGCAGGTGGCCGTTACGTTGCAGATCCTTGGCTCATTCAAACCGACTTCCAGGGCTGACCGAGCAGTTTTCCAGCCTGGGGCACCACACAGAACACCAGCCTCAGCGCCCCGGGGAAACAGCGCCCGCAGAACCACACGCACCTTGGGAAACCTGTCGGTCTCGGCGTCCCGACCAGTGATCGGTGGAAAGCGCGCAGGCTTGGAGGTCACCGGCTGCTCTCGCGGGGAGCCCGGGCGCCGTTCAGCCCTCGCATTTCAGCTGCTTTTTTTATTTTTATTTTTTTAAATATGTCTTTATTGATTTCAGAGAGAGGAAGGGAGAGGGAGCGAGATGGAAACATCAACGATGCCTCATTGATCGGCTGCCTCCTGCGTGCCCCCTGCTGGGGATCCACCCGCAGCCCGGGCCTGCGCCCCGACCTGAGCCAAACCGGCCGCCTTTGGTGAACCGGGCGTCTCTCCAGCCCCCTGGGCCGCCCGGCCAGGGCGCTGTAGGAGGTAACTATGTGCAGTGATGGATGTTAATGGAACTTACTGTGTGCCCTTTGGGGCGGCCCGGATGGGCCTAGAGGGCTTCCTGCTCAGCGAGACGAGTCAGGCAGAGCGGCCCCCGGGTCCCGGGACGCTCACCTCAGTTTGCGCAGTCTGCAGTGCGGATGTTTCAGCGCCAAGGGGAAGACCCGTGTGGCGTCAGGCTCCATCACGCTGTCGGTCACGGCCAGGGACTCCAGCCCCTCGTGCAGCGTGAACACGGAGCAGAGCTCTTGCCACCAGCGGAATCGCCGGCTGATGCTGTCTGGTCTGGGTGCAGAACGGGATCCCCAGCCGGAGGTTACACAGGAGAAAACCCCGGGCTGGCCGTCCCCACCCTGGTCACGATCGCAGGCCCCGTGATGAGTCCAGTAAGACTCCCCCATAAAAAAAAGCCCAGACGAGCCATCATGAGGTTTCTCGCTCATTACAGGGAGACCACGGCCTCAGGCGAGGACGCCTGCGTTTTCCCGGGGAGACCACGGCCGCCCCGACCCCTAGCCCTACACGCCCAGGACAGGTGGGCAAGGCCCCCGGGTAAGGTAGACGGGGAGCGAGGGAGGGTTCAGAGCGCTCACACGTCCTTGGTGATGGTCAAGGTCACGGTCAGCTCCACCTCCCCCAAGTGTGGACAGTGGGTGAGGCGGGAGGCAGACACCTGCAGTCCCCGTCCCTGCCGATGACCAGAGCGGCCCTGTGGGGCCCCGGCAGCAGCTGCCGCAGGAAGGCCTCCTCCCGGGTCTCGAGCAGGCAGAAGGGCTGCGGGACCCGGGGTGTGCGGTGGGCGGCCTGCGGCCCTGCCACGGGGCCCCCAGTTTGGGCACCTCCTCCTTATTCCCCGAGGACAGCTTGTGCCCGAGCCACCGCTCCCCGGCCTTGGCGCAGGTCTCGTTGAACAGGCCGAAGAGGAAGAGCGCCACGTGCGCCAGGGGGCCCCCCTCTTCCCGGCTCGGCCGCCAGGCGCAGCAGCCGGGCCCTGTCCAGCACCTGGAAGCCGGGGACCCTCTGCGGGAGGTGGACGGTGTACACCAGGGCGGCGAAAACTCCTGGGAGCTCAGGAGGGTGAAGGCGCACAGGTCCTCGTGCCCCCGACCCTGCGGAGAATATTCTCGCCCAGGAGAGCGGCCACGGCCGCCCCGTCCAGCTGGGTCAGCTCGAGGTCCGTCTTCCCAAACACCCACCGCTCCTTCCACATCCCTCTCGCCGCCAGGTAACACGGGCCGGCAGGTATCTAGGGTGACGGTTGCCGTGAAGCCGTCCGAAGGCCAGGTACAGGTGCTGGACGAAGGCGGCCGTGGCGTTGGGGTGGGCGTGAGGGAGGGGCCCCTCCCTATCGGCCTTTCAGGCACGAGCACACCAGCCAGCAGACCACAGGCGCTGGCACCTGGAGAAGAGGACCGTGTTCCCTGCGGCGTCGCTCAAGGCTTCCTCCGCCTGCCCTGGCTGCTGAAGTGCCTCCTGAAGCACTGGGCTCTCTCGGGGGCGGTGAGCCCCGTGACGGTCACGACGGACGGACGCCTCAGGACGGACTGGAGGACCCTCCGGGAAGAGAACCGCAGGAGGTCAGCAGCGAGGCCTCGGGTAGCATTTTTCCGCCCAGCAGACTGGCCAGGAGGACCGGCGCCAGCAGCTTCTGGCTCGTCCTCGCTCAGATCCCCGGTCGCACCCTGAGGCTCAGCGCCAGCTCCTGGGAGCCGTCGAGGACGAGCAGCAGCTGTTCGGGCTGGGACATCACCTGGGAGACGAGACCCCGAAGCCTGGGCGACCGGCTGATACCAGTTCACAGAGGCTCTGCGGCTGGGCCCAGGCCACCCCGACAGTGGACGCGGAAAGCATACCAGACCTGGTGGGGGGAGAACTCCTTTCCTGCCCACTCCGACATCAGCTTGTGGGCCAGGGCGGTTTTCCCCACCCCGGCGGCCCCCTGGAGGACGACCGTCTTGGGTGGTCGGCCTTGAGGTCTCCTGGGAAGAAACAGGCAGTGAAGGAGCCGCTGGTGCCGGGGGAGGTCTTGGTGGAAGAAGTCTGCTTGGTTCCCGGGCCACGGGGTCCTGTCCCCCACGGCGGAGTAGTGGCCCCTCCCGGGCAGCCGGTAGCCCCGCACGTCATCTAGGTGAGCGGGACGGGAGGGACAGAGCCAGCTCCGTCAGTGCACCGAGGCCGAACCGAGCAACAGGACCAGCCTTGGGGCCGACAGCAAGCCCCACGATATGTTTCCGTGGAAGGCCCGCTTCTCCCGAGGGCGGGGCTCAGTTGAGAACCGTGAGTGGGCCCGGCGGGGAGGGCTCAGCGGCTGAGCCTCCACTAGGACCCAGGAGATTGCGGTTCGATTCCCGGTCAGGGCATGTGCTGGGGCTGTGGGCTCCGCCCCAGCAGGGGGGTGCGGGAGGCAGCCGGTCGACGTTTCGCTCTCTCCCTCTCCCTTCCTCTGTCTAAATCAATAAAATATATATATATATATGAAGAGACGCCAAATCACAACCCACCCCGCCTTAGGAACCGAGCTTCTCTGCCCAGCCCATCGCCCGCTCACCTCCAGGGCTGGTCACCACCCCGGCACCTCCCAGATTCTTCTTCCTCCGAGTCCACTTGTGCCCCTCCTGGGCCCAGGTCCTCCGGCTCCACGTTGGGCAGCACGTCTGGAAGAGACGAGGAACGAGGCTGTGCCGTGGGAACGGGGAGACGGGCACCGGGAGCGCGCATGGGCTCCTCCAGGGCGGCAGCTCAGGGAGGAGGCCGTTCCCTGGACTCCACCAGGATGCCAGGGAGGAAACGCTGCTGTTTCCTGATGGGCTGAGAGGTGCTCGGGGACTCAGCTCACCGCCCGGGCCGGGCCTGCGGCTCACTGGGGGAGCAGAGCCTCCTGCGCCGAGGCCGCCGCCGGCTTCCCAGGCTCCTTCCCAGCAGGGGGCGTGGGAGGCAGCCCAGCAGTGCCTCTCTCATCCGCGTTTCTCTCCCTCTCTTGCTCAAAATAAAGTGTGGTCTGCCCGGGGGGTGTGTGTGAAGTTTGGCTTTCTGTACTTTGAAGACGTGTTATGGACGGAGAAGTTTACGATTTCAATCCTGCCCTTGGGACTGACCCCCTTTATCATGATAAAATGACCCTTTTTAGCCTTAAATATTAGGCTGCTGACCTCACGGTAGCTCTAGCAGCTCTCTTGTGTTTTGTGACTTCATAGCATCTTTTTCTACCCTTTTCCAACTTCTCGGTTTCTTTGTCTCTTTGTGTTCATCTCTCTCATTATTTTTGGTTAATCCTCACTTGAGGATGTTTTTCCATTGATTTTGAGAGAGAGTAGAAGGAGTGGGGGGGTAGAGAGAGAGAAAGATCGATGTGAGAGAGACACATCAATTGGTTGCCTCCCCCATGCACCCCAACCAGGGCTGCGGATCAAACCTGCAACCCAGGTAGGTGCCCTTGATCGGGCATTGAACCCGAGACCCTTTGGTGCGCAAGCCGACGCTCTAACCGCTGAGCCACGTGGGCCAGGGAAGGGTTTTTTTCCTTTAAATATGCTAATAGGCCTGGCTGGGCGTGGCTCAGCGGTTAAGCTTAGAACTAGGATCCAGGCGATCAGGGTTCGATTCCCGGTCAGGGCACATGCCCGGGTTGTGGGCTGCAGCCAATCAATGACTCTCATCATTGGTGTTTCTATCTCTCTCTCTCCCTCTTCTTTCCTCTCTCTGAAATCAATAAAGATATATTTTAAATTAAAAAAAATAAAAATAAAAATAAATAAATAAATAAGCTAATAGGATAGCCTTGGCCTTTTGGGGTCAGAGGCGCCCTCTCACTCCACTATCTGCCGGCTTGTTCAGGTGGCCAGTATGGGCGTCCAGGAAAGCGCTTGGCTCTCCAGCACCCAAGCCCATCGCCACACGGCACCCAGACTATCACCCACCTTGTAGCTCCCTCTGCACCCGGAGGCACAGTTGGGTCCCGTCCATCTTCGCGAAGATGCCGTGGGCCACATCCCAAGCGAGCCGGCGGGGGAAGCGCTCGGTCAAGAGGTGGGCCACCTCCCCCCACCTGGCTGCCTTCACCTGGTCCCAGGTGATCCGGGCGGAGCCGGGTCTGGGGGTCTCAGCCACTAAGAGCTGCTTGAACCTCTCTAGCTCCTGCTGGCTGAGGTAGAGCAAGTACAGCATGACCCCGTTCTTGAACGGCGCGGTCGAGGACAAGGGTTCCAAGGA